CGAGCTCAATGTCAGAGCACCGATCCAGGGAGAAATCAGTCTTAAACAGCCGGCTCAATTGGAAGACTGGTCGGTAGATTGTCTGCCTATCTGGAAGGCAGCTGGTCTGACAGAAATGCAGCCAGACCTTATTCACACGGGGCTGGTAGGAGGCTCAGGTCTCCGGTCTCCCCTGGCAACCGTGGGAGGTGAGCAGTTTCTTCTTTCCTTGATATTGTCATGTTATTTTTCCCCTTTTTATTTTAAGTGCTCTGTTTATTCTTTTGTCAAATATTCAGTATTATTATACACCTCTGGAACTGGCTCAACAAACCTCTTCCTCTCTGAGTAAAGAGGGCACAGTGTGTCTCCTCTCATTGTTATAGACATTTTCTGCATTTGAAGATGAGATTTTGTTTCTTTCCTGTGATTCATTATAGTCCTTGGAATGGAAAGTGCTACATCCTGTAAATGCAATACAATGCATTATTTGAAATCCTTCTGCTTCTTTTCTACATTTTTGAAGTTGTAATGAGAGAAAAATTGGCTTGACCCCATCGCTTTGATCCGTTACATTTGAAGGTGGTGGAGCGACACTTTGAAAGAGCATCAGTATTGTCTTGGGAGAGCTTTGCCCTTGATAGAGAATGTGTCTCTGTAACTAAGGGGACTGCTTCTATACTGTTTGTACTACTTCTCTTCATGTCCCTCTGAGATAAAAGGGTCAATGTTACCCTCAGAAGTGAGACAGATTTTCTGAAGCAGTTCGTCTCATTCTTTTAACAACCTAAATTGTTAAACATTTTACTGCTCTGAAAATTGATGATTCAATGGTAATTTATTCAGATTAATTAAATCAAATTTTACTTTTTAATTCTATACACATACTGTACCAAACACTAAGTGACTGACATTCTTCTTGATTTGACAACTACATGCTAATTCTAGTTAAAATCCAACAATTTAACGATTCAATCTTTCATAGCAATGTTGAGTTAATAGCATCCATCCACATTGCTATTTAAGAAAAATGTCTTTAGGAGACTTACATGAGATATATTTAATAATTTAAATAATCATTCTTCAGTTCAGTTCAACTGTAGCAGCTCTGCAGCTGTTCTCAGCCTCAGTCCTTCTGTAGAGCTGAAGGATTTTTTTTTGTACAGATATGTATCACTGTGTGAAAGGGAAGTTATAGTCCTGCTGACAGTAATAGTCTCCTGCATCTTCAGCCTGGACTCCAGTGATTGTCAGTGTAAAGGCTGTTCCAGACCCACTGCCACTACATCAATCAGGAACCCCAGACGTTGTTTGTTGCAGCGTAAACCAGGAGCTGTGGAGCCTGACCAGGTTTCTGCAGGTACCAGTGCAGGGCACTGTAACCACTGGCAAACCACTGTTTGTTGCTGGTTGTACAGCTGATCACGACGGAGCTGCCCACTGGACTCTGGAAATTAAATAGTTATAAATTAGAGTTAAATAATAATTTATTGTTATCAACATTTATGTATTATTATACCAGAAAAAAACATTTGTTATAATTTTAACTACATTATCAATACATTTTATTTGATAAGAATAATCTGAATAATCCTAATCCCAGAATGCAAGAATCAGCTTTAATCCTTACCTTGAGAAAAGAGCCCCAATGTCCCCAGCAGTAGAAACAGTGGCATCATTGTCCTGTGTGTGTCAGTGACTCTGAAAGGGCTGAACGGTGACTGATCCACACTGTGAGTCTTAAAGTGTTTGGAGCAGTGAGGCAGCACAGGTATGCAAAGCTCCTTCCTATGTACAAATCCTGTCACAGACAGTTAGAAAATCCCTGATCTGGGAAAACAGGTGCAATCTGTCAGGGTTGCGTTTATTTCTTAATTCCTGCTGCATTCAAAGCTCCACTGTTAAAAAAGATGCTGTACTATTTATAGTTTTACCGTAAATCATTTAAAAATCTCTTTATTCTTTACACTGTTACTACATTTTCAGTATTTACAGTTCAAGTATGAATGGGTATGGATGTATTTTGATCTCTTGATCCTTCCTGTGAAGCAGAATTCACCCAATTCACC